TAAAAGAGGTGCTATGGGGCATGGGAGACCAATCTAAGAGAGACTGGAGTCTTCGAGTTTGGAATAATACCTACCTATACAGGTGACTACTGAACGTTGCCAGGGTTAGTGGCACCAACCACCCCCCTCACCCAGAGTCAAAAATCTGTGTATAACTTTTGACTCCTTCTAAACTTAACCATATTAGTCTACTGCTGACCAGAAGCCTTACCTATAACATAAACAGCCAATTAAAACTTATTTTGTATGTTATATGTATTATATATTATATTCTTATAATAAAGTTAGAGAAAAGAAAATGTTATTAAGAAAATCATAAGGAAAACGATTTAGGGACTGACATAGGGCTGCTAGCTTTTCAATCTTGACAAATGATAGTATTCACTTTTACAATTCTCCCATCTCTCATCACTATGATTTCCTAAAAGAAATGCATTTGCAACACCAGAAAACTAAATTTTATAAACTACTCCATTTGTTTATTTGTATTTCCCTGTGAACAGTGAAGCCATCACAGCTTCACTGTGATGTATACATATTATATAACATATAATTATATATTATATTCTTATAATAAAGCTAGAGAAAAGAAAATGTTACTAAAAAAATCATAAGGAAAACACATTTACAGTATTGTATATATAAATGAAAAAAATCTGTGTAGAAGTGGACCTGTGCAGTTCAAATCTGTGTTGTTCAAGAGCCAACTGTACTTTGTTTAGATTTGGTCTTTTATGAAATTGTCCTTGGTCCTTTTTATAGTCTCTCCCTCATTTGACACCTCCTGCTCCCACCCAGCAACTTTGTTTTTACTCCTTTTATGGCATTTATAGTCTTCTCAAGTCTGTTTTTGTACTTCTTTTATCTATACCCACTAAACTGACTATGAGACACTATAACCACTTCCCAGCACCTCCCAGAGAGTAGATACCAAATTGATTGTTGCTGAAATAAATTTAATTCCACAGAGAGAACAACTGGATAACAATCAATATCATCCTGATTATTCTTCACAGTTGTGAAAACAGAAATAAACTATTCACTATTTTAATTTAATTCCTGTAAATTAACCTTTACTAATAGCATGCATTTTTCATTCCTTACAAAACTATTTTATTTTTGGTTACATTTTGCTTTTAAGAGTCTTAAACCATACACCCTCTGAATTCATGTACTTCTTCTATAAAAATGCCAGAGATAAAACTTCCATTGTAATAGATATGGAAACCAAGGAGCAGAAAATTTAAGTGATTTGTTTAAAACTGCAAAGGTCTTAAAAGAAAAGAACTATGTTTCCCACTTAATCCAGTGTCTTTATACTCTGATTCCCACCTTAATTTGAATTTTATTTTGTATTCAATTCATAATAGTTAAATTAATAACAGTAATTATCTTTGATAAAACTCTGTCAAAACCAATACACTGATTACCGTTCATTTTTAAAGATGCTACTATAGATTTCTGTTGCTCTGTGACAGGTTTGATATTTTAAGTGTCAGGTAAAGTGCAACATGCCAATTGGGCATTCAGTTGAATGTTGTTTATGATGCATATCATTTGTGCTTTTTTATAGTTATAATCAAATCTAAAATGTTGATGGTGATAGTTGGTATATCAATCTTTACTCCTGCATTTTATAGTTCATCTTTTATTTAAAACTCTGTATCTATTATAAATAAAAAATATTGAAACAACATAGGATAATAAATCTTCATCATGCAAATATAATTAAGAGGTTGCTGCATGTACAGAAATATACATAGTCTTCTCCCTGGGGAGGCAAGAAAGAGATGGGCTATTACAAACCACAATCCTCTTTTCTATTTGCACATAAAGGTAAAAACCACTGGCATATTAGCATTAAGAGTATTTTTCTCTTATAACATGCTCACGCAATACCTAGGAGGCCAACTGTAAAAAAGTTAAAACTTTATGATCTGCCAGTGAATAAATATACCAAAAAATTCATATTTAGTTTTGCTGAAACAGTATACTGTTATTGTCTATTTAAAATTTATAGTTTTCTATTTGACAATTGTTATCATTTGACCTTTAAATTTTGAGAACATTTTCCCTTAAACAGATTTTTACATAAAATACACACAGAACAGAAAATTGCAACAGAAGTCTCTGTCCAGAGTGACACTCTTAGAGCATATATCCATAACAAAGGTACACCCTTATTGCATTGGATAGCTCCTAACAGTGTTTTTGATCTGGTTATATCACATGATTCTTTGAACAGTTTTCAGCAATTGTCTTAATCATTCTTGAAAACATTCTTTATAGTGTACTGTTTGCTCTGAGAGTGACAGGGAAAGGCCCTTCATAAAAATTTTTCTTCCATTAGAAGAAAGCATTTTAACTTCTCTAGATCATTGCTCCTTCAAAAATCCAAAACACAGCAAAGCCTATTTAATTCCCAAACTTCATATCAAAAACTACACATTGTAAAACTCCAAAGACTTTGAAACACAAAGAGACAAGGTTGTCATTCATATATTCCTTCAGCAATAATTTAACAAGTCCTTACTGAGTGACAGGCACCGTTCCAGGAGCTGTTGTTATGAAAATTATAAGACATTTCCCCAGTGCTCACAGTGTGAAACAGACACCGAGCAGACCACACACATACACAGGATGAGGGTGCCAGACAAGCGACCTCACAGTGTGCGGAGGAGGACACGGTAACCGGCCTACGGTCTTGGAGAGTGCGGCAGAAAAGGTGGCCAGTCGGTGGGGTGTTGAGAAAAGTGGGGAGAAATGTAATCCTGGGCAGGGGTCAGCATGACTAAGAGAGAGCAGCGCGCACAGAAAGGGAGGAAGGAGACAGATTACAAGAAAAGGTGCGAGAGGCAAGGCTGGCTGTGATTGAGACCTGGGTAGGCCAAGTCGGCAGGGCGGCCAGGGCTGACTTCATCCCGCGGGAGCTGTTAGCTGGACAATGGCGTGGGCTGGGGGACTGAAAGGACCATCCCGTAGAAGGGGTGGACATCGAGGGCAGGAAGAGCAGTCAGGAACTTGAAGAAACGAACTGTCCAGAAGAAACACTAGGTTAAAGAGTCAGTGACTTTGAAAAAGTCTGTAGAGGTATTTCTGAGGTAAAACAAAAGATATGACAAAGTGACAGGGAAGGAATAGATAAGGGTACGTTCCATATAGCAGGCGCCAACAAATTATTGAATGAATAATCATATGTCACTATCTAACCTCTACTCTTGAATTTTTAAAATGCCCACCAGGAGGGAAATAAAGAGGTGGGCTTATAAATTACGGGCCACTTCAACCTCCCCGCAGGATGTACTTCTGGTGGGCAATGCTGCTGGATGAAAACTCAATCCACCGCCAAACAACATATTACACTCTTCAATATCAAATTACCATAAAGATAGGCTAGCAAATGCCGCGCTAAGCCCCTCACATACATGTCCCCAAGAGCCTCCTGCATTGTCTTCAGCAACTTATCGCAACCACCACCAAGGAAGCGCCTGCTCCAGCAGCGCTCCATGCAAGGCGCATGTGCACAGCCTGTAGCGTGGGAGGAGGGCGGGGCGATGAGAATGTTTCCCAGAAGCCCGCGCTACTCGCTGCCTTTTTTCCTCCCGCTCACAGGCCGCGAGACGTGACCCCGCCCGCCACGTTCCTCTGTCGCAAACGGTGGTTTGCTAGCGCCCCTCTGCGGTCTCGTTGAGCGCCGCAACTGTGCACGCAGGGCGAGAGCAAGAGAGTAGGGAGAGTGCGGCGGGTTCCGCCGCTGCCGCCGTCGTCACCGTAGCGTGTCAACAGTGGCGGCGCGGCAGGGCAGAGCGGAGCGGAGGAAGGGAGGGGGAGAGAGGGGAGGGGAGGGAAGAGGCCAGACAAGGCGGGGGGAGGGGGAGCAGCAGTGGCGCAAGCCGCGCGGGGCCGCGCAGCCCGGGTCCGCTCCCTTCTCTACCGCCGCCTTCCGACTCGGCCGGCAGAGCCGGCCCCCCAGCGGCCCCCGGAACACCTCAAAGCGGCTGAAGGAGTCCTTGCTGGGAACTTGGCGGCGGCGTGACGGGGACATAGGAACCTGCAGTGGGGCCGCCGCCGCCGGAGCAAGCGCCTCGACCTCGGCCTGAGGTAAACACGGGCCGACCTCAGGGGTGGATGGGCTCGCGCAGCTGTCGCGGCGAGGTGGGGGTTACAGGCCGGCGCCGAGCGGAGCAGCGGGCCCGGGGCGACGGGAGGGAGGACAAAGTTTCCGAATCTCGCGCGGCCCAGGCGGCGTCCTGCGCTTGGAGGAAAGTTGGAACTGTCTCTCGAGGCGGGGGAAGCTGCGGCGGGGAGGGTCCCCCTTCTCTGTCGCTACCCGGCGAGGGAGGCCCCGCTCCAGCCGCCGCCGCCTCGCTGTCGGCACCCTGTCCCATTTCCTCCTTGTGGCCTACGCGCCTCCCGCCGCCTCAGCCGGCCAAGCTTGTCCCCGCCCGAGTGCGAGGTCGGAGGTGGAGGTGTTGTGGAAGGAGGCTCCACGACAGACTCCCCACACATACACCCCCTCCCTGCAATGGAAACGTGTCCGGCTTGGCCTCCGGGAGCTCCCCGACTCCTCTGTCCGCTTTACTTGGGATACTTTGCTTTTGTCAATTGCGTCCAAGCCCGCTTGTGAAACCAAACTTTACTACGTCGTGACCTCCCAAAGTGCGCGAATAGGAAAGAGCCGGCGCTTGCTTCTAAGCATCAGCCTTTACCCGATGCCCTGAATTTCAAACTTCTCCCACCCCCAATTTTTAAACCCGTTTCCTGGCCTGACAACAAAAGGGCCAGGAGTTCTAAACTTTGCTAAATCAGTTGCCCCTCCTCAGATCTAGGAATTTTGAACCATTTATAGACTTTCAGATTGCTGGCCACCTACACACGTTTTGAAAATTTGTTTTTAAACTAAACACTTAATTTAGAATAGTTGATTAAAACATTCACAAATTCAAATGTTGAGTTTTAAAACACTGCCATATATTTTTGTACCGTATTACATACAATGTTTACGAGTTGAGCATTTTTCATTCCTTTTGGGTTACATTTTAACTAACATCTTTATGCTGTTACCAGTGAATTGAAATATTTAAGCAAAACTGATCAAAAAGTTTTTAATAGAATGCTTTGGCTAGCATATAATGCTGATGTTAAATTTTCCCAATTTGGGCCTTTTCACTGAATATGGGGAAAAGCATTTTAAAAATGTATTTTTCTTGTTTTAAAAGAAAAGTTAATTCATGCATATGATTGCTTGGCTCAGCAGAATATTAAAGGCAAAACATTCTTAAATAATTGGTGATTTTTGTATTTTACTAGTAATTGTATTAAAATTGCAATATGTAATCAAGTCTCTTTCCAGACCACTGCTTTCTCTTTCCTGTTTCTTTGGCAGTTAGCTTCATCATCTCACTTTTTTACTCTTGGTTAAGAGATACAGTAAAAAGTTTGTGGGACTTTTGTTTTTGTTGTTGAAGTTTTAATTTATTGGGCAGAAGAAATGAAATTTTGAAATCGTCGGAATTTTTTGTTTTATCCTATCATATCAAAGATAATCTGAATGTACTTTATATTGTGTTTATGCAGTATAATTTTTTTTTAAATTAGCAATTCTTATTGTTGCTGCACTTTTTCACTACAATATTTTTTGGTACTTAATAATCATTCAGTTTTATATTCAGATAGTGACCTTTTTTTCTGAGCATTTGAGTACATTTTGACATTTTGGTGGATAAAATTTGGGTATTTGCTTACTCTAAGTGTACTCATGCTATAAAGATATTCTTCAGTATGTCAAGGAGGGAGAAAACTGTGGAAGAAAATAAAAAATTATTCCTAAATATGCTGCCTGGAACGTGTCAGGGAGAAAATTTTAAGGGGAGTTTTTGTATGTCTTTCGGTGGTGGTAATGGGGTTCATGGGTTAAAACTGAAACTCTAGGGGTCACTCACTTCCCCATCATCCTGGGCCCTAACCAATACTTAGGCAATTTTTTTTTTTGAAAAGCTGTTCTGTTAATTAGCAGAAATAGGACGAATCCGTGTCTAACATGTTGATTCATCAATAGCATCTTTTAGTAATAAATAAGAGTATAATATTTTACTACTCATCAACTTAATACTGAACTTTTTAGGTACATCAGTGAGAGATAATTGTAAAACCTAAGTAAAGAGAGTGGAAGGCGTAAAGTAATAAAAAGTCAGCTCTAGAATAATTCATTAACTTTCTTTTAGCAAGCTCTGCCATCCTCTGCCCTTGTCCTTTAGTGATGTAAATTGAATATTTTCTTACCTTGCCCAATGAAATAAAGATGCTTAAAACCTAAATTCTTAATTATGTTCTCTATCCCAAAGAATAAATTAATAGCCTTGCACCTAATCTTGCATCTGAATGGTGATAACTGTTAATAGCACTGAGTAGAGCCCGGAGTAAAAATACTCGGTATTATTCTGTTGCTCTTTCAAGACTTATCTTTGCATCGTCCGTGTAGTTCTTCTTTTGAACTTGTGACTTTGTTAATTCCTAGTACTTATACACATAAAAGTTCGATATAAAATGTGAAAACACCACCATCCTCTCACACTTGCAAAATAGCTTCCTAAAAAGTCTCACTGTGAACTTTGTTCACCTGTAGTCTATACCGCTCAATAGCCAGAGTGCTCCTGTTCAAATATGTCAGATCAAGTCACTTCTCAAATGGCTATCTCAGTCATAGTAAAATTCATAGTCTTTACTGTGGTCTGTCAGGCTCTGAGTATTTTGAGCCTCTTCTTTTTCTCTGATTTCCTTACTTCTGTCTTCCTCCAGCCATACTTCTTTGCTACTGAGGTTTTCTCTGATTGCTCTGTATAAAACAGCAGGCCCTCCTTCCACATTTCCTAACACTTTTTAAGCAAGATATTTTCCCATAGCATTTATCACTTTCCAACACACTGTATAATTTGCTAACTTACGTTTATTGTATTGTTTTCTTCACTTTAATGCAAGTTCTCTGAGAACAGGGTTTGTCAGTTGGAGTTACTGTTTTGTCCCCAAACACATGAATAATGCTTGCCTGATACATAGTAGGTGCTTAATACATACTTAATGAATTAACATGCTTTCAACTGGAAACATTTTTAAAACATTAAAAATAGTAATTGTGGTTTGAAACTTTTGACTTTGCAAGTCTCAGTCTTTTGCGTAAACTGCTAAATTACTTATATCCATGCATTATGTTTAGTTTATGGGTCCACGGTTTTAAAGGAGAGTATGGCAGAGTGTGACCTTGAAACAGATTTATCAGAAGACAAAAAGAACTAAGAATGCTTAGCTAAGAGTAGAGTGGTATATATCTTACTGTTTAAAATGTCATTTAGAAGCCAAATCAAGCATAATTTTGATAGTTCCAGAAGGCAGAACTAGTATTGTGATGATGTGTATTGAAAAGGAGAGGCAGTAAGGGTGGATGTGGGAAAATTAATTAAGGCTTTGCAGTAGTAATACAGAAGAGATGAGAACAGCTTGAATTAGGATCACAAATGATGCGGAGATTGACAGTAGTGAATGGGATTTGCTATTAGTAGGCCTGAGATGATGGATTGAAGGTAAAGGAGAGAAAAGTTTCAAAGATGACTTCTGAGTGAAACAGCTGGATTGATGATGGTACCGAATAAGGACCATGGTTCTTTTGATTCTGATAATAGGTTTAAAGTACCTTTGGAACTTTCAGGTGAAAATTTCTGTAGGCAATTAGAGATGCGATTCTAAAATTTAGGGGAAGTATGGTATGGAAATAGAAAACTAGAGTCATATATGTAGTTGAAACCATAGATGGAATTGCCTAAGGAAGGGAATATAACTTGGGGGAAAAAAAGATGCTAGAGTGGAATCATGTGGCCTCTAACATAAAAAAAATTTTTCTGGAGGAATATCAGCTCTCAAAGAATACTGCAGTGGTCAGAGAAGTAGGAGATGAGTGTGGTATTATAGAAACCGGAGGAAGAGAGTATAGATATACCTACCTCGTTTTATTGTGCTTCACTTTATTGAGCTTCACAGTTATGTTTTTTTACAAATTGAAGGAAAGACCCTCCACCAGCAAAAAGATTACGACTCGCTTTATTGCTATGGTCGGAACTGAACCCACAATATCTCTGAGGTATGCCTGCATTTCAAGGGGAGAGTAGTCAATAGTGCCAAGTGTTAATGAGAGTTAAACAACATGGAGCTCAATCGCCTTTTGAATAAGCAGGATAATAAGCTTCTTCTTTTTTTTTTTTTCAGACTGATGCTCTTATAATTGCTTAACTAGATCTAAAAGTACTGAGATGAGAAGATTAAGAAATTATCCACCCATTTACGGTAGAGACCTCATGTTTATCAGATATTTACTGTGTGCCAACCACTCTGTTCTAGACATTTTACATACATTTTAATTTGATTTTTTCATCAGCCTTTCAGTGTTGGGTATATCAGTCCTTCTTACAGAAAGGAGTCCAAAGCTCTGGAGAGCTTAAATGACTTCCTAAGAATCTTTACCCAAGTCCTTCTGATTCTTTGGCATTTAGTTATTCATCATATCAGTTGGCCTCCCAAACTCCAAATCAGTGTTGTATAGTAGTAGTAGTAGACCTTATTGTGATGATGGAAGTGATCTGTATCTGTACTTCCTAATACAGTAGGTGACAGAGACAGGTAGCTGGCTGTTGAGCACTTGAAATATGGCCAGTGTGACCAAGGAACAGAATAGTGGTTACTGTATTGGACAGTGCAACTATAGATCAAAGGTCATTAAGAATCCCATAAATAATAAAGGAGTCCTTTCTTATACAGTAGTACCCCCTTATCTGCGATTTTGCTTTCTGTGGTTTCAGTTACCTATGGTCAACTGCGGTCAAAAAATACTAAGTGGAAAATTCCAGAAGTAAACAATTCATAAATTTTAAATCTCACGTCATCCCTCTCCATCCCACCTAGAACGTTAATCATCTCAGCATATTCACACTGTAGACGCTTCCCTCACATTAGTTACTTAGTAGCTGTCTTGATTTTCAGATAGTCGCAGTATGGCAGTGCTTGTGTTCAAGTAACCCTTATTTTACTAAAGGCCTCAAAGTGCAAGAATAGTG